CCCCAAAACCCCAAAACCCCAAAACCCCATAGTTAAAAATCAAAAAGATCTAAAAGACAAAAATTATAATCAAAATAAAGTAATAATATTCAAGTAAAGCTAGATTTAGATTAATCTTCAAATGGAAAGCTATAACAATAATTAAGATCTATTTATCTGTGAACTTCTTAAGAAACTTTAATCTATTTACCCCTCTTCTTATATGGAAAAGCTACCTATCTAGAACTAATATGAGGCCTTTGATGAACTCAATTCTGATAATTACATTTGTATCTTATCTTACGTAGCTCAGAAAATTGAATAGATAATGGCTTTAGAATTTAGCAACAATTCAGTAAACGCTGACTAATATCAAGATTTAATAATACTGATAACTTTCATCAAGAACTAGATATAGTTTTAAATAGCAACTTGCTAAAAATCCTTGAAAAATGCTAATAGAAGAAATCAAGGCTTGTCTCAGCAATTTTAATTTGAGTTTATGGAGTTTTTTGTCAGATTCATTCTAAACTCGAAAAGTCAGCAATTGAACAGTTTAATAATTTCTTAATTAACTTCAATTATGGAAAGCCTTATAGACTTTAATCCTAAGCTTGCAGACTAATACTTAATGGTAAGTTAACTAATAACCTATATGTTTTTGACTAAATAGATTATAGTACATCTTTGATAATAGTAATGGTATCAAGATCTTTTTTACTTCAATAGAAATTGAGCTGGTACTAATAAGTCTGGAAAGTTTAATTACTAACAAATTCAATATAAATAATAACCAGATTGAAATACTATTTGAAGTTATGTTTGCATCCTTTGATAGCTATTTATCTGTAAGATGGCTCTTTTTATGATTATTAGATGGAAACTCTTGATTTAAAATGTATTCAAATCTTGTACAAATTAATAGGATTTCTGATTTAAAACAAACTTACACCACTTAAAATTAGAGGATGCTGCTTTTTACAAGTCTTTTCTGATTTTATAAATAGTGCTATAAAATACTAGAAAGTAATAATATTTTTTATGATAACTTTCTGTAGAATCTTGATTAGAGTTGCTTTGAACTACTTTAACTTATTAAGGTTAGCTCAAGATAGATACTCCAATTGAATTTTGAAATTCTCAGGTCTCTAGTAGACTTATTTAAATCGGTTGATTCAGAACAAAAATTGTCACTTAGTCATGTTGAAAAGAAATGCTTTAGAGCGATGATAAAAATTATGTTAGAAACTAACGTATAAATAAAATTGATAGATACTCAAGACCTACTCTTTTAAATTGTGCTACCTTATCAATCACTTGAAGGTAATGATATATTTTCCCTAAATTCCCTTCTATAGTTGAATAATATATTGAATTCGAAAGTATTAACTAAAGTTAACCAGCAAAAGAATTCATAATAGATGATCTACATCAGTCATCAATTATTGAAGATAATCTTGAATTGATAAAGCTTATTAAGAAACTACCTACAAGCTAAATTTAAATTATGATTAAATTGCTGACAATTGATTGCAATTAGTCTTATCAAAAGCTCAAAGCTTTAATTTATCTGAATATGAGATATAAAAATTTGAATGAGATTACTCCTAGTTTTCATAAAGAGTTCGAGTTATAGGAGATATCAAGTTATAGATTCGATATGAGCTTATGCTAGGTTATTGATAAGGCTTATGAAGATTTTATTGTATTAACTGTTAAGAATTTGAAAAGTATGAATAATTTAATGCGATATCATACCCTTAGATAG